TATATATATATATATATATATATATATATATATATATATATATATATATATATATATATATATATATATAGGACTAAATCCAGGTCGTAAGTCCGACATGGTCGTAATTCTGACATAAATAAAAATAATCACAAATGCCACTTTATGCATCTCTGGAGGGTCGAATCTTTTAGGAAATGCCCTACTCTTAGATTGGAACCTTTGAATTCAATCTATCTGTTCCCACCTGTGAAAATATTGCCCAAAGTGGTTCACAAACTCAAATCCTTCGAGGGCAGGTCCTCTTAATTGCACCATATTGGATCCTACAACCTTGGTGCCTGGATCTGCTGGACTGTTGCCCGAATCACTACAATTACAACAAGGATGTCTAGACCAGGTACTACATTCTCAGTTAAAGGAATATCCTTGGCACTTCACGCTTGAGGATTCTCAAGAAGTTTAAATAGATTGGGTAATCCCAATATAGCTAACCAAGTAGCAGGTCATAGACCCCAACTTCTATTCAATATGAGAAAGCTTGGAATCTTTTTCAACAATTTATCAAGTTAACAACTCCAGAATCATTGTCGGAAACAGTTGTGTTAGAATTTTTAGAATTTCTGTTCAGAGTTAAAGGCCTTCAAGGATCGACAATTGTGTCTTATAAATCAGTGTTGGTTGACCTTCTGGCTTGGGGTTTTAATATTACTTTGAACCCAAGGATTTATCAAATGCCCAGATCGTCCTTTTTCATTGAGAAACCTCCTCGCCCCAACAGAATCCTACCTTGGTCTCTGGAAAAAGTTACTAAACTTCTTATGGGGCCTAATTACAATATAAATCTGAACAGGGATAAATTACTCCAGCTTTCCTTCTAGCAATAGCAACGAGTATGAGAATCAGTGAACTGATTTCAATTTCCATCCATCATTATTGGTATTTTCTGATGAGGATGTTCTCCTTTTTCTTACGGACATCCTAAGAAAAATGAAAGGGAAGATTTTCAAGCTCAACCTATTATGATAAAACGTCCATTGGATGAAACAAAGGTTCCTCATATATTGTGCCCAGTTAAAAATCTTCAGGAATGGTTAACCAGATTCCCTAATTGAGGGCCCCTATGTTTTCTCATCAAGGGATGGTAAGAAATTTTCTCCTCGTCAAATGACAAAATCCTTAACTCAATTAGTGAATCAAGCAGACCTTGGGAAGAAATTTTTGGCACATGACACTAGGAAATATGCAGGATCTGTGGCCTTTCTGCGGCACATGAGTCTCAGTCAGATCAAGGAAATGGGCTTTTGGAGATCTTCAAAAACTTTCTAAGACAGCTATCTTCATCTATCTCTGAAAGATGCTTCAAATGTGGTGGTGCTGGGTTCCCTTCCCCCACCTAGTCAATCTCCACAACCAGGACCTTCTTCTTCATCAGAATAAAATGAGTAACCTTTTTTAGTAAATTAAAATTTTACCTTCTGGTAAATGTTCCTAATTTTGGAAATATTCTAAACAGTTTATAACATAATCTAGACCTAAGTCAGCGGAGCCTTGTATGCAAAGTCACCTCCCTCTCCACCTCCTGCTCGGGTATTCTTGCTGAGCGTCGCATTCCAACTTGAACAAAAAGACGTTTTTTCTAAAAAAACAGTTTTTGTGATATAGCTCGGAATGCGACGCCGATAACCCACCCATCTCCACCCCTCGAGAGTTGACTTTTGTTCACTGCTCACTCTGAGGCAAGAGATGAAAACAGTACTTTATGTACATTACTTTTTAAAATTAATTTTGATTAAAAGACATGTACAGCTCCTGCTCGACTTACGAAGGGGTTAGGGACCCAAATCCAGGTTGTAAGTCGAAAATGCTTAAATAATACATAGAAAATCTAAAATGGGTGTCTCTTTTTCTTCTCAGCATCACAAAACTCTCACTTTTAAGCTTGCCTGTCATTTTAAAGTGAATTACAAATGAAAATTTTGTCTGTGTACTGTCGTTGGGACTCGAAAATACGTAATTTGAAATTTTTTTGGTAAGACTGAGGCAGGTCGTAAGTGCGGGTGGTCGTAAGTCGAGTAGATCCTAAGTCGAGGAGGAGCTGTATATTTCTTTCATAAAACTTGTACACATTGGTGTTGTACTTATTTTTTGTTTAAAATGGCAGTCTTTTTGGAAAAAAATTTGCTGTAAGGTGGGCTAACTTAAAAAATAACAAGAACGCAACTTTGCCTGGTAGGCGGAGAGGTAGGGGGATGTTGCTACAGGGATACTCTCACTTGGTGGCTTGCCAAATCACACACACACGTCAAAACTTATTCAGGCCCTGCTCAGTTGCCCCCCTATGGCCAATGTTGCCCCATTCCACAAGTCCTTCTCCCCGACCCTGACCCATCCACACCACAGGGATATCTACATAATCAAAAGTGACAATTTCGTTTCGGAAAGACATGGGATCAGTGTTGAACAGTGATGAACAGTGATTAAACCAGTGAATTCAGCACTAGACAGTACCAGTGAGAGCTGTGGCCCCCCAGTGAGATAAGCATCCCTGGGAACTGACCACCATCTTCTGACCAGGAGGTGCTAATCCGTCCACTCTGGGAACAACAGAGGGCAGGCTATGCACCTGACTACGAGATAACACAACATCACCGAGCAGAGTGAGGTACAGTGACACCTCCCCACACCACACGGTGTCCCCATGACCAGGTGAGGTCTTTCATATCAACACCCGAGGACGAGTCACTGTACCACGTGAACACCACACCACCTGGTGTCTCTATGACCACGTGAGGTTCTTCATATTAACACCCAAGGATGAGTTACTACACCGCGTGAACACCTCACCACCTGGTGTCTCCATGACCAGCCCAGGCCATCAACTGTAAACTAGAAAAATTTGTATGTTCAATCATTGTTCCTTCTTCTTTCAGCAATGAAAGCTTTTTGTTAAACGACTAACCTACCCCATGTCTTTGTATGTAATAATTCATCTTTGTCCAATGTATATTTTTGGCCTTCGGGCTGCCGAACTTTTTCAATAAGCTGTTTATTATTATCATCATCATCATCATCATCATCATCATCATCATCATCCATCGTCGTCGTCGTCGTCGTCACACACACACACACACACACACACACACACACCTACTACTACCCGAGATCTCTCGCCCGAGAATTGCTGTTCAACACTCCAGCCCATACGAGCACGAACTGATCGCTATAAGAACAGCCCAGTCCCAACCATTGTAAAAATTATCAATAACTTGTAATCAACCAGTGTATTCTCTCCCAGTCAATCTTACTTTATGCACTGTCACTATGTTGAAATGCCCTTTAGTTTGAGCTTCTCCCCACCTAGTAATTATATGCCATATTTGTATCACTCATGTTACTTGTATATTATTTGTTAGTCATGAGACCCATTCACCAATTATGTAACTGTACATTTTCAAACTTCCGGCTACCATGCTCTTTCAATAAACCGTTAATTATTATTATTACACACACACACACCTTCATATTTTTTATTTTGTAGCAAAATTTTTTTTTAAATATATAGGTACACTCTATATAATGCAATAAAATAACTACAATAGCATAGAAACAATACAAAAGAACACTGTATGAGAGAGCAGGAGAGTGTGCATGCATGTGTGTGTGTGAGCAAGTTTGTGTATTTTTTCATGCCACAATTTGGAAGTACAGGTACAGGCATGGGGCGAGTGTCTCCCACTCATGGGAAAAAAATGCTCGTGTTAAGCTGGCTTTTGCATTGGAATATGAGAGCTGTTGCTAGCCCGCCCGGTTTGAAATAATAATGTAAGATTTTGTAATTTTTTGTTTGCGAATAAGCAGGATATGCTATTCAAATATCGTATAGGAGTATTAAAATATCAATTCCAGATAAGTGAGGTTCCGAATTGTGAGGTATTTCTGTACTTTAGGTGTGCACATGTGAACAATACAAGTTCTGAGGTACAGTAGTTTCTTGCTGGTGGGTAAGGATATACAGTGACCCCTCGTTTAACGAACACCTCGGTTAACGTAATTTCGATTAACGAACTGCCTTCCATAAGGATCTTCAATTCGGTTAACGAAAAAAAATTCGCTTAACGAACTTCTTACGAACCGACCTCAACATGTTTTCGCTTGCACTGACCGGGCAACCAGGTTTAGTATCAGTCCGCCAATACATTAATCGGTTCTAGGGCTTAAATTCCTTACTATTTTTGTAAATATCAAGAAGTTTATACTATTCAATAATTTTAAAAGTTTAATATTCAATTTTTTAGTCATTTTAACAATTATTGAACAAAATTGAAGGTAAAGTGACTAGTTTAATGCGCGGCATCCAGCCTCTTAACACAGCAAACAGGCGTCAGTCTCTCTCTGTTTTCACTGGAGGTAACATCTTGCTTGAGTCTCTCTTCAACTAAACGCTTTTTTTCTGTGTTTCCAAGCAAATTATTGGTCATTTTGAAATATATTTTATATATTGACAATATATAATGCAGTGCAGCGTTGATTTAAAGAAAATAATCTTGAATTAAACCAGAGAGCTAAAATTTTATGGGTGAAATGGCACCATGGGGTGACTTCTCTTCCACCCCAATGCCTTCTCTTCTTCCTTCTCCTCCACCCCCATTCTAAATCCCATCATCATCATCATCATCCAGGAGCCTTCTACATACACACCTCAAAGTAAGTGAACTTTTCTACCATTTTTTTTTAATTTAGGAAATTTTCGGTGAGCTGGAACCACTACCAAAAACCCATTAAACAATGGTTTCGTTAACTAACGCTTCGTTAACTAACCCACCTTCTGGAACGGATTGAGTTCAAGAACCGAGGGCTACTGTACAGTAAACACAAATTACTCATCCAGAATCTTACATTTGTATATTTTGATCAAAATATTGGGTCGTGATATAAGGTGTTTGTCAGTAGATAGGCATAGCTTCATATAATATTTTAGGTTACTAAGAGTTATTAATATTATATTTTCTCCTTGGCAGACACCACGTGCTCGAAATCAACTTAAACGTCTGGCTAAAGCTGTTTGGAATTTCGAAGATGCAGAATACCTGGAGAGGTGCTGGCTTCTTCTAGCAGATATTTATGTGCAGACAGGAAAGTACGACATGGCAACAGAACTGCTTAAGGTATGAAGTATACTTCTTATAGCATCATGTACAGTACCTCTGCAATCATAATAAGGTGTGAATTTTTGCACCAAAAGGCTATTTTCCAGCTGTGCTTTTTCAGAAGTATAGTCTGGATTTACGCGGTTTTTGTTTACGCATTTGGTAATTTATGCGGCACCTTGCCAGAATGAAATGTTTTAATTACGCGGTAAATTTCATCATTTACGCGGGAAGCGTGGCGGGCAGGGTGCACACAAGGTCACCCAGTCAACAAAACATAACCAAGTTCTTCTCCCGCCACCCACCACAGCCAGCCCAAGTCAGTGATAGTAATAGTGAGGATATGGACTTTGAGGGGTTTGACAAAGAGGCCCTGCAAGCCTCTGTGGTGGATAGTGATACAGGTGATACAAGTGATACAGGTGAGGGCCATTAATCTGCCCTCTGCATCAGAACCAACCCCAATCCCCATGTATCCAGCCATCTCTTCTACTAAGTAAGTGTTAAAAAACCTAATATTATTGATATTTCTCTTAAATACTAATTGTGTGTGCATACCATCATAAAATTAAGATGTTATTTTTACTACAACGTACGTAACATAATGTATTGTGTCTGGGTGAAGTATAATTTGTTTATTTACTGAAGAAATTTGTTTTTAGCTCATAAAATTCATGGAAATTACACGGCCAGAATATAATTTACATTGCTGGAATTCTTGTAAGATGGTGATTAATTTAAATATAAACATCCTAAAATTTGCATTAGACATACAAATTTTAGATCTAATTTAAGAATTTTATTAGAAAGAGCAAAAATTTTATCTTTTGTGCAAAATTTATGGCATTTTTATTCAAATTATTGGCAGTCTTGCAAGGAATCCAGCAATGTCAATAATATTATCTTAATTTAGTCAGAGGTATTATTTATTACTAAATCTGTAAACCTACCCAGTGTTTTTCCCCATACATTTCTCTGGTAGGGAGGGACCCAGCAAGCGTGGGAAGAGGGGGGGGGAAGTGGTATTTTGATTGATAGATAGTGTCTGGGTGAAGTATAATTTGTTTATTTACTGAAGATATTTGTTTTTAGCTCATAAAATTCATAGAAATTACCCGGCCAGAATATAATTTACATTGCTGGAATTCTTATAAGATGGTGATTAATTTGAATATAAATATCCTAAAATTTGCATTAGACATACAAATTTTAGATCTAATTTAAGAATTTTATGAGAAAGAGCAAAAATTTTATCTTATGTGCAAAATATATGACGTTTATATTCAAATTATTGGCAGTCTTGCAAGGAATCCAGTAATGTCAATTATATTATCCTAACTTTAGTCTGAGGTATTATTTATTACTAAACCTGTAAGCCAAGTGTTTTCATCCAAACATTTCTCAGAGAGGGAGGAGCCAGCGAGCATGGGAAGAGGGGGGGGGGGCGTTGAGTCCATTATTTGAATGGACATTAACCGGCGACTGTATTTCTCTTAAATATTAATTGTGTGTGCATACCATCATAAAATTAAGATGTTATTTTTATTACAACATGCGTATTGTGTCGGAAAAAATGTAGTTTGGGGGTTGGCCCAGTCTCTATTTCAATTAATCCCATATGTTCTGTTATTTCGTTTACGCGTTTCTCGTTTTGCGCGGACTTCCATGGGTTCAATTGACCGCGTAAATGCAGACTATACTGTATAACGAGATATGAAAGAAATGTAAAAAATAGTGATTGAAAGAAAGTTTGTCTTTTTCTTAATTATGACGACTTTACATTGCAGCCTCAAAGGGTTAGTCATATTGGGGAAAAAGTAAATGCTTATAGAAATGTCCCCATTAACCAGAATTCCATAAACAGAAAACTACCTGAAACTGAACTTGAAATTATCCCAATTTTAGTAACCCTACAGTACATAATTATGATAGTCAACAAGTTTACAAGTCAAAACTCAAAGCATGGTAGTGGTCATGATGGGTAGTGGTGCAGATGTTTGTTGTTAATGGTTCAGGCATTTGGAGTTGGTTTGTGGTGCAGGTATTTGGTGATTAATAGTTCAGGTGTTTGGAGTTGATAATGGTTAGCAGTACAGGTGTATAGTGATGTTAATGGTTAGTGGTGCAGGTGTATTGTGATATTAATTGTTAATGGTGCAGGTGTATACTGGTGTTAATGGGCCTCGCAGGTGAGTGGACCCAGGTTTGATCCCCAGGCAGGGTGAAACTATGGGCACATTTCTTTATACCATTTGCCTTTGTCTACCCATAGTAATTGGGGACCAGGAAGTTAATCGATTTGCAGAAAGTGTTCTGGGGTAATGGTTAGGCAGTGCAAGTGTCGAGCTGTCTGGTCTTCTTAGACTATTCCTTGACACTGGGACATGCAACTCGTTAATTTAAAGGGGTGCACATCTGTCGACATGCCGTCCGGCGTGATTGTCAAACAGCTACCTTCTGACACAAATCAGAGTTTGTGCATGATCAATCACATTTTTCAGGTGTCTCATCACAATGTAATCAGGATGCCATGACTGTCAGTGTGCTGGATGGCTCTGCAATGAAAGGGGACCGATGGGAATAATGACAACTTATACACAAGTTGTAAACTTTGAGAATACAAATACAATACATTTGTTCTCGGATATGATAATGCAAAATACTGCATAGAAGTTAGTCTAATAATGACATACATTATCTAAGTGTAAACACTTACACTTGTAATAAAAAAATACAAACTAGCCTAATCGCTTCTATTTAACACTTGTTGAAATCGTATACAGTCAACCCTCGCTTTACGCGGTCCCACATTCTGCGTTTCCATGTTTACTTGGTACCCTGCCGAAACAGGAATGCCCACATTCCGCGGTGCGTGTACCCCTTTACGCGGAGAGCGGCTGGCGAGCCGCGCCATTTTTGGATCCAAACCTCCCGCCATCTCTTCCGCCATCCGCCATGTTGTGTAAGCGGTGCGAGCATGGTGCGCACAAGGTCGCCCAGTCATCAAAACATTACCGAGTTCTTCACCTGCCACCCACCACAGCCGGCCCAAGTCAGTGATAGTGATAAATATGGTGAGGATATGGACTTATATGGACTTTGGGGGGTTTGACAAAGAGGCCCTGCAAGCCTCTGTGGTGGATAGTGATACAATTGATACAAGTGATACAGGTGAGGGCCAATAATCTGCCCTCTGCCTCGGAACCAACCACCCATCCCCGTGTGCCCAGCCATTTTTTCTACTAATGTAAGTGTTATAAAACCTAATATTATTGATATTTCTCTTAATTATTAATTGTGTGTGCATACCATCATAAAGTTAAGATAATATTTTTACAACAACATAGTTGTGTGTCGTCAAAAAGTGGAGTTTGGGGGTCGGCCCGGTCTCTATTTCAATTAATCCCATATGTTATGTTGTTCACTTTACGCGTTTCTCACTTTCCGCGGTACCCTGTGGGTTGAATTAACCTCGTAAAGTGAGGGTTGACTGTACAGTATAACTGTTTTTACCTTCACGTACAGCAGTTGTCTTTGAGTACTTGGTGGATAACTTGGCATGTCTCAAAAATGATTACAGTCAGATTTTGTTTAGAAATCTGTGTGGAATATTGCAAATTTGCATAGGAGCATCCAGTTGCTGGATACCGAAGAGTAGCTTTGAGGTGTGTTCCTGCTGAAATACTCTCTCTGAATCTAGTACCTTGTCTCTCTGTTGGCAGTTTTACTTTTTCAAGATGAGAAAAAGCCATTTTTTGTTCAATCCAGAATGCGACGCTTAGCTTTAACCTAGGCATGTTAATGCCTAGCAAAAACTCACCAGGCCAACATACAGGCAATTAAAACATCTAATAATTACTTATTAAGTAATATTAGGAGGACACGTCGCTACCTGGCATTTAATTGCAATTGTCGAAACCCCCTCCTTCACCCCCCATCGCACACACTGCCACCTTCATCTCTTGCCTGGCGATTACAGCTATAAGTAAACACAATGCAGAGCTCCGCGAATTTGTGTTATAATAGCTGAAATACTAAGCTCCACAAGGATTTTATATATGGTATTTGTACTTATTAGCACATTGATAAAGTAGAGTGACTTTTATTTTGTTATGTTTCTCAATTATTGTCATTGGGACAATTTCTTATACGATCTCTGGTCAGTCATGGCGACAACAACACGTATTCTTTGTGAAGTCGTTTAGATCGATGTGACTATCCCTTGCGTTTAAGTCACTCAGTGAATGTCGCTGCGCCCTCCTGGGCTCATCTTCACTGAAAGAGAATATGTGAATATATCTATTTATATATATTATATATGTAGACTGTTTACAGTTTTCTTTGTCCCAATTATTCACGTGCTAGTATGAATGACATGACTGTCTTTCTTTCTATTCTTATGTTCGTTCACAAAAAACCTTTGGGCTTCCGCCCTCGGTTTTCTTATATTATAATTAAAATTGCTCTCAGCATAAAGACCAGATTTGAGTTTTTCTCTTCAAAACTTTATTTTTGATGTCCTCAGTAGTGGGTTCAGTCTTTCCAGGTGAACTTTAGCGAGGCTCGTAGACTTGGCGTTCCTTCCGGATTGTTGACCTTCAGGTCTTCCTAGCAATCTAGAGTTATGTTGAAATGGACTTTTCATCCTTATATAGGTTTTATGCGAACAATTCAGGGTGGCTAGAGTAATAGTGAACGCTGTTGCCAATAAAGCGTTATGTTAACGGCTCAGCACTGTCAACCCTGCCGGGTGATGGTGCGCACGTAGGAATTTCCCTTAAGTATTTACTTCGGGGATAATGTCTGTGCCCCTGATTGGCAACAAATAGAGATCTTGATGTTCTCTCTAAATAAAGTGTTCTAAATGAAATTATTTTATGTAAAAAATAAAAAAAAATTCATTGAGCTAAGGGATACTTGAGATAAGAGCCGGGAGAGAGATACATCATGGTGAGTTAATTGTTTATAATTGTCAAATGAGTGACTTATATAACAATAAGAGATCTCAATGAATTAACTTACTAATAATATGATAATTTTGAGTCATATTGATTAAGTT